AGGTAGAATTCCCATGGACAGTTATTTGCAAGATCAGACCCCAGGTTTCTCCTGACAACATGGCTTGGATAATTTGGTTACTACCTCAAGTGTATTACAGAATTGTAATTACGTTTGTAAACATGGAATGTTTCAACCTAATTTTTAGTAGAGTACTCAGGAGCCAGACACACAAGAATGATGGTCTTTGAAGGGATTCAACTCCACTCTGGCCCAAGTGTGTATTTTGTAAGAACAAGCTTTTGGATTTTAAAAGTGTGTTGTAATTGCCTATTCTTAGTAGCAGAGCTAAGGAAATGTGTTCCCTCACAATAAACGAGTAAGTTGCCAGTGTCCCTTTAAAGAGTTACTATTTTCCTTTTGGGGGAGGGGATTTTTAAAAAATAGTGATGTTAGAGGTACGGGATCATGGAAATGCTTATTTGGAGTTGGGAATCTATGACAAAGCTGTACAGAGGAAGAATGGTCCTAGAGTTCCACATGGAGCTGGAATTCAGGAGGGGTGGTTTCTATTCCTGGCTATAGACTTTGTGTGACCTTGGGGAAACTCAGTGAGGCCATGGAATTGATTACTTGGATGGTGGATTAGGCCCTAAGTGTATCAGTTCCTCTATCTCTGAAATGGGGGGAACTGATAATAGTCTTCAGATATGTTAAGAGTTGTTATAAAGGGGATGGTGATCAGTTGTCCTCCATGTCCTCTGAAGGTAGGACAAGAAATAATGGGGAATAAAAGATTTTAGGTTAGATACCAGGGAGAATTTTAATTAAGCTCTAGACTAAGCCTAAGGGAGTTTATGGGACTACGTCAGTGGAGATTAAGAATACATTGGACAAACACCTGTCAGGGATAGTCTAGGTTTACTCGGTCCTGTCTCAGTGCAGTGAGGTTAACTTGACTTTTTGGGATCCCTTCCAGCCCTACATTTCTATTATAATGTTTCCCTACTTTTACAAGATGCTGGAAGGATATACTCCTCATAATGCTCACATACCGTGGAGATGGGGTCACACAGGTAGGTAGATAACAGTGTGCTTACTCAGTCCTCATACTTACATCGCCAATCATAACAGTCTCCTCCGGCTTGCAGCCAATCCCCCGTAAGGCTTCTAGGAAGAAGGTTGTCTCTGGTTTCCCCACCACTGTTGCTTTGGTGTCGGTAGCATATTCCAATCCAGTAACAAAAGGTCCAGGGCCCAGAGCTAAGCCATCTTTCCGCTTATAATATCTAGCTTTATGTATAGCTATAAGAGGGGCACCATCAAGGATCAACCTAGAGAGACAAGGGAAGAGGAAAAAAAAAATTAAGCCTTGAATTCATGGATATGTGCTACTATGGGCCTAATCCTGCTTCAAGTGATGTACATGCCAAAAACTCATTAGCTTAAATGAAAACAGAATCAAGCCCCAAATTGTAGCAGGGTTGAGAATTAAACTAATGTTTTACTGAGTGAGTTGTATAAATAAAGTTACTTCCTCCACCTTCCAGCCACCCAAACCAGGTAATAAAAATACCTAATGAAGCCACTGTCTTAAAATGACTACAAGAGCCAAAGAGGGTTTTTTTTTTTTTTTCAAAAAGTTATGTATATATTTATATTCACTCAGTGATGGAATTAATTCCTTTATCTAACAGAACCTAAGAGTTACTTTCCATTGTTGATGGCCGAAGTAAAAACTCATTTGATTTATCCTTGTAAATATTTTATTAGATATTAACTGTAGATAGTGCTTGTGATTTTGATGGATGCACACATTTAATTTCCTGCTAATCTTCCAAGGCCTTTGCTAGGTGGATTAATATTGCAGTGCTTCCAAAATTACTCTGCATAGGAATTCTGCAATATAGATTACTCAGCAGAGCAATTCTTGGTACTGCTTGTTCTATCTTCCAACTGCCCACAATATCTGCACAGTTCAAGACTGACATTCAGGATTCCAGCTTGCCCTAGTTTGAATGAACTCCATGCAGAAAACATGCAACATGGACTCTTCAGTTTATTTATAGGAATAAAAGAATGTTAAAATAAAAGACATGCACTAGTTATAAGGAAAGATCAGTATGTCCACGGGCATAAACATCACACACATATATTCACTACAACACTCAAGTAACTCTTTGATTCTTGGTACTGATACTATCAGAAGTTACATTTTAGAAACAAAGTTGTTTTTTCCCCTTTTGTTATAGGGAGAGAAAAATTCAGAATGAAGGATTAGTGAAAATGTCTGATCAACACATCCTTAACATCTCTGATTAGAATACTGAGAAACTGAGTGGAAAGCCTTCCACTTGAAGCTCTCAGCAATCCACAGCGACTGGGGGCTTTAGAAAGTGGATGTAGAATTGTTTTCGGAGAATAAGAGTTATTTCCTCCCTCACAAATTTTAGACTGTTCTCACATTTCCTCAGCCACATTATTATTCCAGTTCTTTACCAATGCTTGCTATAGAGGTCAGCATGAAATTTAAAACACTACCTTGGGTTTCTGCAGGCAAGAATGAAATTAGTTTTCATTCTTCCTGCCACACAATTGACATGCTAAGAAGGCTAAAATAAAGCTGCTACTAGCATCATTTGGAAAGATCCAGGTAATCACGAGTGGAATAGTATTCTGAATATTACTGCTTACTACAACAATCCTAAAAATCTCACTGTTACTTTGTGCTCTACCACCTAACTGCCTTCAGTAGCCATCAGTAGTCTCGTGGCTCATCTCCAGAGCAGTGACCATCTGTCTTAGGGGAGTGTGTGTGTGTGTGTGTGTGTGTGTGTGTGTGTGTGTGTGTGTGTGTGTGTGTGTGTGTGTGCGCGCGCGCGCACAATGCCTGTTACAATGAGGCCCCAATGGAGAGCTCTAGGAATCAGTGCAACACAAGTAAATTATAAATTAAACAGGAATGTTTGTAATTTGGGAAGTGGGTGGTTGAAGGTTTCCTTAAATTAATTTTGGGCATGCCTGTGAGTGTCCTAGGAGTTAAGGGTACTCCACTTGTCTTACAATCAGATTTTTTTATGTTTACATTTTGCCATCACCTATATTATAATTCTTCACAATGGACACAACAGCTCCATACACATTGAAAGCATAATCAGTAGCGCTGGAAAATCTGCCTAAATGCTTATCTGAAGGAAGGGGCCTGGTACTACCATGCACTGCTCAGCTGTTTCAATCCTCTCACCAGTTCTAGTTTCACTGCAATAAAAGCCCTCTAGAATGACTGTATCTATAAAAGCTGAGGTAATGATCATTGAGTGCTTCCCATTTGATTGTACAGCAAATTCTTCAGATACTGGAGATAATTCCAAGACTTAATCACAATGAATAGAAATGTAGCCAGTGCAATGGAAAAAGCAACAATGAAATAGCTCCTCCTGCTTCTTGAGCTATGCTATTTGGCAGTTTCCTTGGACTGGGCAAGGAGGACTTATTCTCCTTTTAGTCCCAATTATTTTGTACAGAAACCTTCAAGAAAAATCCAGTGTGTAGAAGAGCAACCTCTTTCTGACCCTTCACATTCTTTCAACACTAATACCTGTATGACATTCTGCTATAACTCTTCCCAAAGAATTGGATTGCTCTACATCGGAGTGAAAAAATATCAATTTTTACATTTGAAATTGGATTTTTCATTTAAATTGGATTTAAAATTAAGCAAACTATTTAAAAAAAAGAGGTAAAATAAAATTTAAAATCACTGACCTGTTAAGTTCTAAATTTATTATAAGCAATTAAAATTATTTAAATTAAATACAAAATAGAATATAAGCAGTACATGTTTGCAGCCAAATTTTAAGTAAAGTTCTACCAGTTCTGTAGTGTGGGTCACAGTTTAGGCACTTAGAACCAGTTTGCCAACGTGCTAAATCAGTTTTTGCCAGCAGTTCCAATCAGAATATTTGCCTTGGTTCAATGATCAGTTCATTCAAAGTGGAAAAATTAAACTATTGGGCACTAAAAAAGCAGAAAAGCTTGTTTTCCTTTTCTAGTCTATGAATAAAAACTAGGTTTGAGAGGAGGAGAAGCTCTACTATTTTTAAATCTGGAAGAACACAGTGAGAAGAAAATTTAATTAACAACAGATCGTTCTTCCTTTGTTTAATACATCAATTGGTTTTAAATGCAGAAAAAGTGTTTATCAAAAAGTTTATCTAGCACACTAGAAATTGATTTACTAAAATTTAAATATTGCTTTGTGCATATTACATTGAATTTAAATTCCCACACAGTTTGAAACAAGTCACAAGTAAAATAGTAATAATCTAGTACAGTACAAGCTGTGTTATCCGGCACTTTAATAACTGAAAAACTCAGTTAACTGGCATCTGTCAGAGATGGCAATACACTTCCTCCTCCAGTTAACTGGAAAAATTCTGATAGCCATCCAGCATCATTTTTTTGACATTTTCTAGTGCTTACAGAAGCCAAGTTTTTTGTAAACTTGTGGCAGTAAAGTGTGTTTATGTCATGCTTCTGTGTAAACTGTCACCAGCTATTATCTAACCCATCCTGCAACTATGACTAGTGTACAGTTAAAAATTCGAGTATCCAGCACATTTAACTGGCTACTCCCATTTCCCATGAACGCCGGCTAACAAAACTTGTGCTGTCCAAGGGTTCTAAAACTTCATTGCTCCATGACCCCCTTCTGATCACAAAACTTACTACACAATCCCAGAAACTGTGACTGAAACCTGAGCCCACCCAAATTCCACTGCCCCGGGGGGAAGAGGGGAGCAGAGAGGGCAAAGCCAGAACCTGAGCTCCCCCTGCCCAGGAGATGTAGGGAACATAGCCATAGCCAAAGCCAAGGGCTTTAGCCTTAGGAAGGGGACCTATAGCCTGAGCCCCCCTGTCCAGAGCAGAAGCCCGTGGCCCCTGCTGGCTCAGCAGGTGTTTGAGCCCTGGACCCAGCAAGTTTAAACCAGCCCTGGTGACCCCATTAAAATGGTGTTCCATCCCACAATTTGAGAACTGCTGATCTAGTAAAGAAAATGGTGAATGATGCCTTTCTTATAGCATCATAAAAATTAAGAACCTGAATTAAGTTTCCGAATCTTTATTAAGCTATGTAATAGCTTTAAAATGTGTATCCTCCTAGCTAGCCAAAAAAAAAAAGACAAAATTTAGTATAATGGTTGTAGCTAGTTGTAAATCAACGTTTTAATAGTTGCCTATCAGTGAAAAACAACCTTTTCTTTAGGTAAATAACTACTAAGCATCAGTCCCTGTTTCTGCTTGCTGATTTAAATTAAAATTAGAATTGGGGATTCAAATCACTCTGCTTTAAATCAGTCCATCCTAGTCTAGATTAGGCTACATGCTTCTGCCTACATATGCATTTGCAAAACACCATAGGCACCTGCAGTATTATACAAATGATAACATTTCACTTGTAATAATGCAATGGAGTAAAAAAACTGCCAAAAAATCCTTACACTGAATCAATTTAATCCAAAACAGATTCAACAAGAATAAAGCAGCCATTACTAGTCTGCTCACAGTCAGTGAATATCAGCTGTTACTACCTTAGATATGCATCAATGTCACATTTGTTGGGGCAGAAACCCAACAGAAGATCTACAGTTTTCACCCATGTTTATTTACACGGTGTAAATCCATATCTGCCTATTCATTTTGGAGTTCAAGCTACTGGCACCTTCTACCCTCCAACACCTTGCCCTGAGCCCCTTTCTGCACCCTGCACGTCCTATCCCATCCCTAAATTCATGGCCGCCTACAATTTTCCTACCCAAATGTGACTCAGAGCAAAAAGTTTACCCCCCCCCCATGTTCTGCACCAAGGATGCATACCCCCTATGCCACACCCTCAGTTCAGTTCTCTCTTTTGCAGCAGGGCCTGCCCCATTGTGCTGTGAGGGAGACTGTCACAGCTGCAGTGGTGGGGGCTGGGATTTCTCCTCAATGACAATAATCAGGCCAAGCACCAAACCCTACAGTTAACAGTAATGTACCCAATTCAGCTGTGGGGTAATTCCACTCCCTTCCACTCCGGTTTAATTTTATTTTTTGCCTATCTTCTGTCACACGGGCACAATGGAGACTGGATCCACTGGTAACCTTGAGCAGTAATGTCACCAATCACTCGCTTTAAGTATCCTGGGCTCTAGATTGAGGCAGCTAATTACTGTCATTCAGCTTCCAATAGGTTCACAACAGACATAACCAAGGCTTGACAAACTGCTGAATCTACTCACGCGTGGCAAGTAGATTTCAGCCGGTCGCTCCATGCACCCCATTCACCGGCACT